GCCACTAACTTAGCTCAGTTTGAATCGCGGCATGTTTGGATTTTCGCAAATGGCTCTATCCATTTTAATTTGCTTTCTGTTTCTACTCGTTATCACACGACGGAAGTATGTCCGAAATAACGGCAGCAAATAAATCGCTGTGCCGTGGATTTGGTTCAGATTAAACGGTGCCACAGGTAGGTTTTTGAGATCTACCAATCATCTCGTTATAAAATCACGGTATTGACTGCAAATTAACGCACAGGAAAGTGCTATGTTTTGATAATTTTGCTCAGGATAGTGATTGGCACAAGTGCCGTTCGATAAAATAAAATGTTTTTTCCGTCGACCTCGTATTAACGACTAAGTTTAATATACATGAAATCGTTCATTAATGACCCCTATTAATGAACGATTTGTCTATTAATGTACGATTGTTTTATAGGCAATCAAACATACACCGCGTGCATTCATTGTTTATGCTATAACTTACGGAATCTGCATTTAATTCGAAAATATGGCTTTCATTGAAGATTTTCTGTTAACGGGATCACCTTTCCAAGTTTCTGACACGATTTTAATCCCTGTTTTCTAACACAAGGAATTTATTTTCTATGTTGATCATTTCGACAAATGTCAAATGTCACTAATGTCAGTGACAAGGCTACTGGGTGATTCTTAGCAGTTTCCAGATGAATGATGAATACGCGAACCAAGTTTTCTTCATTGCAGGAGAAATGAGAAATATAGTCGACTGAAAAATTTTGTAACCAACTTGTATATTAAAAGGCGATTAATAAACTAGTTGGTTAAATAACTATTACATGCCTTTGGAACATATAACATTTGGTTATCAGATGACGGTCGAAATTTACAGACCGCTCTCCTACCCATGAAATGTCAAATTTTAGGCAATGACAGCTCTGTCTAATATAGGTGCGCGCATTACTTGAGGGAAAATCAGATGGCAACCAGCCGAAGAAATCAAAAATGTATCTCTTATCTGTTATAGCCGAAGAAATTTTTTTGTGTATAACTCGCACGGAATGATAATTTCCTACTCGTATGATTTGCAGCATTCACCTACGTCTCATTGTTCACACTTCATTCTCGTGGAAAATGACAATAATTCCGTGATCGTTGAACAATATATTATTTCAAGAAACTTTCCTTACTATTACTAGTATTATATTATTATTGCATTATTGCCAACATTATTCCTTGCCTATGCATCGGATCTACACGAAGTTTTGAAATCTGATCATGCATTTTTTGCTGACGATAGCAAGTTTTTTGGAAATCCATTATCCAGTCATGATGATCTTCAATCTGACCTGAGGTCCGTGCAAAACTGATGCATCACATGGAATATACCTTTGGATATAGACAAGTGTTCTGTTTTGCACGTTGGCAATAATAACCCCGACTTCGATTATTACTTGGATAACAAGACCATACCTGCAGTAGAGAATCACAACGACCTGGGAGTAATCTTCAACAAAAAACTGTCAGTGTTGAACCAAGTTGCAGCTGTTGTTAGTAAGGCAAACAGTCGCGCTTACTTACTCAATAAATGCTTCAATCATCCTGAACCAAGGCTCTTCATTCAATTATATAAATCATACATTCTTCCACACCTAGAGTATGCCGTCCAGGTTTGGTCTCCTAGTGTGAGACATTCAACATTTGGAAAAAGCTCAACGCAATGCTACTCGAATGGTGAGCGACGTATTAGAGGAGACGCCATTATGACTTATAGAATCCTGCACGATTCCTTCTCTGTAGATCTTTCTGGATTATTTCAACTTCAGAACGACGACAGATTGAGAGGTCATTCCATGAAGTTGAGACGAGAAAACTTTCGTACTACTGCTAGACAACAATTCTTTCCTAATCGAATATTTTTGAGGTGGAACGCCCTACCTGGTGATGTGGTAACAGCGCCAAGTGTTAATACTTTCAAAAACCGCTATGACTCGTATCAGTTTCAGTGAACTATAGGTATCCATATGTATTGTGCAATATGTTGTCATTTATATCCATTCATTCCATACAATATCCTGTACACTTCAATATTCAATTTAATTATCTGTTTATATATTTTTGGGCATGAAAGGCCTTGCCTCTGCCCTTGTTCAAATTTAATAATAATAATAATAATAATAATAATAGTCGTAGTTTACAGTGGGATATCATTTTCATCCCATCGTGGTCACTTTGGAGACCTGCAGAACATCTCTTTCCAACGAACATCGAGGCTCTGGAATACATTGCCGAGGGTGGTGTTCCCCGAGGCATATAACCTCCAGAAATTCAAGAAGAACACCAATTCCTACTTTATTTCCCTTGGTTCTCACGATGTTCTCTGAACATTACAGGATATCCCTTTTCGTGGGAACCAGAACATAAAAAAAGGTTCACCCTGTAAGGGGTATTTCTAGCTACTCGTCATTATTTAAAAATTTCAACAACATATACACGATATCTCATTTGAGGTATAAAAAAAACGTTGAACAAAATTTCATAAGAGAAATCATGAAGAATCCGAATCGAAGGATATTTTTTTGTAGTCAGTAAATTACTGCTACCGTGCCTTCAACTACTATCCAGTTATATTTATCTAAGAACAGAATTTACATTAAATGCTCCATTTTGGCTAGAAATTCATTTTTTTTATATAAGTCCCAACATCTCGAAAACCGTGTGGTCAAGTTGTGGTTTTCTTATTCACTACACTGTTTTACCACTAACCAAACCGATTTTTTAATCACCTAGACACGTGTTTCGCTAACTTTGTTATACCTTCAGGAGAAGATGAAACCCAAGGTTATGATAGGTTATGAACCTGAATATCACCAGCTAGCGAGTATGATCCATTTTTTACCGGACACCCTGTATATAGTATTTTATTTCAGCTTCATATCGCTACCATCTGTCCTAACCTGATTTCAAGTACGAATTTCTCCATCGAGAATATTTATTAACTATGCATATATGACTGGGATGGATAATCGAGCTAACGCTATCAAGGAAGTATAAAGCTATAATGTCCCGTTAATCGCACCGTCAATTCACTGTACCGCAAGTACCACCAGTGGCAGCAGGTACCACTACCACATTCATATAGGTAGGTACCTTTGGTGTTAATGAACCGATGTTGAAGGTGCGCCAAACGATGGCACTATGAACATCAAAAGAACCCATGTGATATCCATATGCACGTTGTCAGTATTCGTCCTCATCATCATAATAGCTGTGAGCGTGAAGGAACCACCTACAAACGTAAGTCTTTGTCATAATTCAACTCTTGGACGACCACGATGTGTGCGTGGCTAGTTTATAAATAACGCCAAACAAAGGATAATCGGGTAAGCTGTTGCCTTAGTAACGAGTAACCAGTGGGTGTATTGGCTTTGATTTCATGAGTGGAACTGTCACTTCGATTGTTTGATGAACTCACTGGAGTGTTTGTTTTGTAACATATGCCTCTGCATGATGGTGATATGGTTGAAATCGTTTTTGAGATTGTTTAGACTAGTTTAGAGGATTATTTGGGTTTAACATGTCTGTCGATTGTGACAAGAACATTTTCACCAAAGGTATGAAAATAAGGTACTTGAAGTAGGATAAACAATTTTTCTGAAACAATGTTCTTGCTGTAAGTGATCAGGAGACTTGTTGGTATTACCCAAATCGATATGTATTTTGAGGTCGCTAATTATAAGTGAACAGTAAACTAGTGCTAGGTTAATGAATACTCACCATTATCAAATTATTATTCCGAGAAAAAAATCACTTGCTCTGAGTGAACTCATCGATGAAGACAATCTATCAAATTGATTGGTGCAAGTGACAGCTCACCTGTGGTTTTACATCTCTTCTCAGTTCGGACATCTCCGATAATTATTCGGGTGCCCACGCTCAACGCGACCACTTCCACTGATGACCACCGCTTTATTATGATCTCAGCATTTGTGAAGTATATACAGGCGTTCTCGACTGTAAAATGGGAAAGTTTCCTATATTGAGGTTCTCATCTCACTGTAAAGTTTGTAAAAAAAATATAATCGTATTTTTTCTTTTTTTCCTAAGATCAAATTTCACTTCAGAAATAAATACATAAAAAAAGAACTTGGCTCCTCCACCATTCCTATGATGTACTTTCTGAAGATCCAATACGATGTTGCCGAATCATCAATATGTCTAGATTTCCGGAAATTGTTCTTTGAATGCATATAAACTAGGTATATCACATAACAGCAATAATGGGATATGAAAGGTTCTTGAATCCTACTTTGCCAAGTATTATGAATAATTCCCATAAATCTCTCATTGGCTGAATGAAGTTGATTACTAATAAATATAAATTATGATATTTTGCGATAGTATCTATAATTTTTCACTATCGTTATATCACAATATGTTATTCATAACTGGTTGCTTGTACTATTTCGTTCCATTAACTTTTTTGTAGTGTGCCACTGGTAGATTTTGAAATACGAAATGAGATATTTGTGTTGTGTATAAACTTCTATTTCTCTTCTAATTTTAACGCATCTGTGACCGTGATCGGGAAAAAAATCATCCCTTGTAATTCGCTAGATTTAACTGAAATTTTCAACAAGGGGGAAGGACCTATTATCACAATGAAAACAAAAAATGCATTGAGTTTGTGATCATAATAAGAAATGTCCAAAGAATAAGAAACCTAATGAACCTTCACTATTTATAAAAGGTGATGCTGGAAAGTCAAAGAAACTTGAAATTTCAGCGCTTTGTAGAACGATGACGAAACGTTTACGATACATATTGATAAAAAAAGGATTTCGTGAAACACTCTTTTGATTCATTCCCCGTCATTCACTGTCCCTTTCTTGAAGAGTTGGTCGGGCTTTTCCATTATCTGCGTTCTCTCATCAATATCCTGGCACCCAGACCAAATTCATTCTGTTAGGTTCCCAGGTATCCTGTTCCTTGATAAGTCCTGAAGAATTTATTCACTTTCAACTGATTTATTTTAGGATGCACCGATACGAGAACAACCGAGAGCAGCTGATACAGCTCCAGCTGACACAGCTGCAGCAGACAAGCCTGACGTACCCAAAGCTGTGAAAAATTGGCCTCAAGAAGCCTTGAATTTGGGTCAGGTTTCAGGAGTATCAGTCAACTCTGCCTTACAACCTGTCATCTTCCATCGAGCTGAAAGAGTATGGGATGAGTAGTAAGTATCTCTGAAGGATCATGACAACAGACCTAACAATTTCAAAGATGATTGGACTGAGGTTTACCGAGATTTTACCTATAAAACAAAAATGATTATTTTTTAAACTTCAATATCTTTTATGACGTGTTCGGACAATATCAGACCTACGTTTATGGGACCTCATTCTAAAATATATTGATGAGTACTGTGACCTATTCATGTTTGGCAGATCAGAAGTACAGCTTTATAATTATATGAGTGTAGAATTTCAGTACAGTCGAAAACTTTGTAAGGCCTAGTCCAGTTATGCCCATTTAGACAAGGATTCAGATATACCTACACTCAGTCATATAAATGAAATAAAGTTCTTCAGATTCCAGGCTTTAACTGATAGGTAATTTGAACTCATCAAAACAGAGCATTCCACTAAGAATCGCATGAATAAAGTTGGAGGAAATTTTAACAACTGAAACTTCCATTTATTCGAATATCCAGTTTCTGTGTTCGTTATGGGAAAGTTATTTTTTTCACCACTAGCTATAAAACCTACCAGTGTTTACTCCTTTACGAGGCGTAAAGTGTGTTGTTACTACCAAGGTAAGTGTAGTTGTCGATAAAGACAAAGCCACCTCTGTGTAATTAACCTGAATCCACTCTTCTGATCAGAGATTCGCAGAAATGACACTCGAATCTAGTAGGTATTTATCAATAACGACTCGTCATATCTTGGTCATGATGGATAATTATTGAAAATAGTGCTTTCATAGTGACAATAGGTCCATATTTCGGTTTCACAGAACTAAAATGATTGGAATATATTGCTAGAGGTAAAAAAATTTAATATAAACCTTGGTAGTAAAGAATATTATAACCACGGGACTTTATACCCCTCGAGATATAATCTTGGTCCCTGAATAATAGTGATATTGTTTACTACCTTGGTGTATAAATACCTATTTTTGAATTGATCTTTCGTAATCTTCAGATGAACAACGGCAAGCTTATTTGATTTTTTTACAGGAAAACTGACCTCATAATATTATTGCTGCTCATGATTTTAAACCCCCATAAGTGAACTTTCATACAATTTCTATGATGAGTTTCAGAAAAACATGCTCTAAATGCTATCTAAATTCGATAGCATTTTTGTGAAGGTATATAATTATTTATACGGAAACGGTGAGTTCAACAAAAAATGATATATCGTGTATTTTGTTTAAAATCATTATTTCCTACCTACCGGTGCTATTGAACATTACTGAATTTACAGTTGATTTGAATTCACTATTTTTACAAGACAGAAAATGAATAAAATTAAGTCAATCCTGTTCATTCAGAATGGGGGTTAGGAAGCATGGGGAACAATAATATGAAGTTAGTCTTCCTGCGAACTCTTAATATGATTTCATAAAAAATTACCTTTTTTATTTCGATAAAAACACACAGCACTGCTTCAAAAAGAAGTTCTCTAAAAAACTGACATATTGATGGTTACTCATACCGGTCCAAATTTGGTAAGAATCGCACGACTAATAGCTGAGATATAGAGGGGAGGTGCGTTTGAAATGAGACACGCTATAGATTTGTCAAACTTGAATATTTTTTCATTGCACAGATTCTATATCTATAAATTGCTGATATGGATTCTGGATTTTTCAGCCTCTGAATGTGATCTAGTAGGCCTTGGTTTAAAAAAAAATGGACGTCGCTTGGTTCCAAAATACATTTTTTCTCTCTTTACATTTCAGAAAAAAGGTTGTAAAAATCGATCCATATACACAGGGTGTCCAGAAATTACATAAAAAGATTTCAACCACAGACTCTAGGAACAAAAATAGTAAAAAAAGTTCATATAAACATGAGCCCAGAAATGGTCATGCCATCTGAAAGAGGGTCCGAGTGATTGTTTTTTGTGAATATTTTCGAAATCTTTTGTGTCGAGATAACTTAATTTGTACATGTATATTACTCTTCATGCCCGATTTGGAAATGTTGAGGAGTTTCCAAAATTGTGATCATGGGCGTGGGAAATAGGTGGGGCTACTTTTGTTTTGTGCAATTTTTGGCAGGTTGCCCAAGAAATATGAAAATATCATAATTATTACCTGAAAATTATACTATTGTTCAGTTTTGAGAGCACTCGACATTTTCAAGATAAATTGGTTGTAAAAGCCTGCTGCCTAATTCAAATAGTACTTTTTCTGAATATGGTACCTACTATATAATATTTTTGAAATTATTCTTTTTATTGTTCCTTTGATATTTTGAGTCAAACATCGTAAGTAGGTAATGAGAAAAGGGTTTTTTCCGTCGAAAAACAATTTTTATGAAAATTTGGTACCCTCTTATAAGGACAAAGCACTATTTTTGCTACGCAGCAGACTTTCAAAATCGATTTATCTCGGAAATAAGAGTGCTATTGAAACTGAACAAGTGTTTCATTTCCAAGTAAAAATGATGATATTTTCATAATTCCTAGTCAAACTGCCGAAAATCGCATAGAAAAAAATTTGGGGGAAGGAATGCCCGTAGCCCCACCTATTTTCCACGCCCCTGTTCAAAATTCCGGAAATTTCTCAACATTTCTGAATCGGGCTTGAGAAGTAATATATATGTACAAAATTTCGTTATCTCAACACGGATGGCTTTGGAAATGTCAACAAAAAACCATCATCATCATCAAACTCCTCAAAGGGCCATTTCTTGGCTCATGTTCATATGAACTATTTTTACTATTTCTGTCCTTGGAATCCGTGGTTGAAATCTCTCTATGTAATTTTGGGACACCCTGTATAGGGTTTTCCTCAAATGCTAACGTTCGAAATTTCCATATGCTCATGGGTGTGACGGCACAATATCGAAACTTCTTTCTATGACACACTCATTAATCGAGCATGATGTATGGAAACTTTGATCCGATTTTTCATGAAATATCCCCACAAAGGAAAATCTTTCAGCCACAAAAATTGATCCATTCCAAGCATAATTATGAGTTCTCTTATGAATATTTTCTTTACATATACGGAAAATTTTTATTCTTATATAAATCTATATTTTTTTGAGATGAAAAGATCAGGGTAAACACTCTGTACATTTTATTTTGATAGAAAGCTTTTCAACTGGAAATAAATTATTGTTCATTAACCGAACTCATTGTGTTTTAGTACATTCAATGAAACACACCATTACCAGCAGAGTCATTTGGGACCAATCAGAGAGCACACCGTTCTCACGTTAGACCCACAGAGAGGAAAAGTGCTTGGCAAATGGGGAGCAGACCTCTTCTATTTGCCTCATGGTTTGACTGTTGATAGACACGACAATTTGTGGGTTACCGATGTAGCACTACATCAAGCCTTCAAGGTAATAACACTATAAACTATCACCCCTGATGTACAAGGAAGATATCAATAAATGAGTTAAATACCGAGCAGCTGGTATATTTGTACCACCTTGCTATGTGTACAATCCATTATGAATCGAGTATATTTATTTTCAGTTCAAACCAGGAGAGTTACAGCCAACCTTGACTTTCGGTCATAGGTTTGATCCAGGATCAGACACCAAACACCTTTGTAAACCCACATCGGTTGCTGTAGCAACAACCGGAGAAATTTTCATAGCTGATGGATATTGCAACAGCAGGATCCTGAAATTCAATGCCGCTGGAGGATTGCTGAGAGTGATTCCAAGCCCCTCAGGTAGATAATTATCATCTGATAGCTTGATTTGGAAACAATTCGGAAACAGACTATTAGGTTTGTATATACGGTGTCCAGAGATGAAATCGACAAAACTCATGGGGTTATAGAGACTGCCAATGGTTGCAAAATGACATATACAAATGTCCTAAACCGCTTCGTTCGGGTTTACCCGATTGGGTTCACATTTGGGACATGAATTGAAGTCAAAGGCTCCAACAAGTAGCGTTCACAACGAAAGCAATATCAGGACTAGAATATTTTTTTCCATGTTGGCGAATTGTGAGAATAACTCACCCTGTATAATAATTATCAAAAATCTGAGGTCATATTATGAATCTACGGTGGAAGTATACTATAGGAACTTGCTGGGAAATTTCTAGCACAATTCCAGGAAATATAATAAATATTTACGAAAATATTTTATGAATTACTCTCATGACCTGAAAAACTGAAGAAAAAATTGGTATCAAAGGTGGAATGATTCTTTTTCATGTTCGTGTAAGTATAACTGACCTCTAGTATATAACAATCATCATTTATCTGATCGTAGTTTCGAAATATCTGAAACAATCGTATAGGAACTTGTATTGTGATGATAGGGGAAGTTTTTTTTCAAATTCATGTTTCTTGTTATGTTTATTACAAAAAACTATTGTTCGTTGTGTTGTATCTTCATAAACCCGAATTCATTAGTAAGCAAATATTCTTCACGAAAAATTTAATCCAGTCCTATTTCAACAAGTTTCTTTACGATTTTTTCAGTTGATTCCGAATATTCGATCAGATTGATGTTAGTTGTTATACTATGTCAGTTATACAGGTGTCCCTATATAGTCTGTACAAAATCTTAGCACATAGTCCTGAGTTCAAAATAAGCCGATTTGAAACAACTTACCTTTGTCCGAAATTACTCCGTTTCCGAGGTACAGGGTGGTTAATTTGAAAAATAAAAATCAACAAGTACACCCGAAGAAAGTATTTTGGAAAATCCATTTTTGCCCTACTCATCCACTGACCAAATTACATCCACAAAGATAACAGTGGGCGAGAAAGAAACAGTGGACTGTAAATTTCGTTCTCGATTTCTTGATTGATTTTCGCACATTGACAAGAAGCATTCGAAATGGCCACTCACCTGTTGAACCGGCGTGGTTTTGGTTCTTCTGTTGGTTTCTGCTCGGCGGCCGCCTCAGGAGCAAGAGCACTAACTGCACCTCTGTTTATGAGTAGGGTTGTACTTCACTGAGTATTTTTCACTATTGTGAAGCTGCGTTGAGTAAATTTCAAATTTAGGGAAAATGACTTATTACCAAAAACAAAAATAGCACTTCGTATCGTCCCGTTCTCATGTCATCTCTTCGCACTGCTTCTCTCCGTACGCATTGCGCACCATGGAGGGGGTGACCACATGGTACCTCTTGTCAATGGATATAGGTACCCGCGAAAAGTTATCACAAAGAAGAATACCAAATATTTTTATCATAAAGTAGGAATTTGATCGGGACAGTGGCGTAGCAAAATAATAATATTTAATTAATGAAATGATGCAGAAACGGAACATACCGCCCATCTAAAATGAATATTTTAAGAAATTAAACTATATTTAAATCACTAACAATAATTACCACAAGAAATTTGAGGAATATATCACACGCACACTTCATGCCATATTTGGCAGAGGGCACACTTTTGTGACAGGACGCTGTAGAACACCTTTGAGTGTGCGTACTGTAACTACCCTTGTAATACCATCACGCCCAGGATGAATTTGCTCTACCCTTCCTAGGCTCCACCGTAAGGGTGGAGAAAGCTCATCTTTGAGAAGCACAAGGGTATTAAGATCAACCGGAGTGGATGGCTGTGTCCACTTGCTTCGCTGCATAAGATTATGCAGGTATTCTTTATGCCAGCGATCAAAAACGATCGATGCAGCTGTTGCACTAACTGCCAACGGCTGAGGGATGATAACTTCAAATTTCCCAAATCGGGGTCTGGAAGAGAATTAAGGGGCTCTAGGGTCAAGAAATGCCCTGGCGTTAAAGCCTGCAGATCATTAGGATCAGTACTGATGGCACACAATGGCCGAGAATTTAGTATAGATTCTATCTGAACCAGAATAGTGTATAATTCTTCATACGTAAGTATTTGATTTCCTATCACGCGGAATAGATGAGTTTTTATACATTTTATTTGAGATTCCCAGAGGCCACCAAAGTTTGGACTTTTTGGGCTATTAAAATGGAATCGGATTTGCTCCTCCTCAGAAACAGATTGCATTATTGATGAGATATAATTAGCAGAACCTCGAAAATTACTACCACAGTCTGAGTAAACGTCGCTGACCTTTCCACGCCTCGCAATGAGGCGGCGGAAAGCGGCAAGGAAAACGTCTGTGGAAAGATCTGAGCATACCTCGATATGGGTGGCCTTTGTAGCCATACAAACGAATACGCAGATATAAGCCTTATAGCTCTTTGCACCACGTACTCTTTTGAGTGTGATTGAGAGTGGTCCAGCCATGTCTACTCCGACATGTGCGAAAGCTTTGGCCTGAGACACCCGGGGAACAGGTAAATTTCCCATGATTGGTTGCGGTGATTGGGGATGGAGTCTGAAACACTGAATACATTTGGAGATGACTGAACGAATAGTTCTTTTGGGGGCAAGAATCCAATACCGTTGGATGATTAGGTTATGAAGAGTTTGGAGTCCAGGGTGCAAGTATTTTTTATGAGTATGCTCAATTAATAGTTCAGTAAATCTATGGCAGCTAGGAAGAAGAATCGGATGTTTTGTCTCGAATGACAGCTTTGAGTGGAATAATCTGCCGCCCACCCTGATAATCTCCGAGGTATCCAGAAAAGGTGTCAATTTCTGAAAAGGCTTGGGTAGTAATTTATGAGTCCTCAGTTTTTGAAGTTCATCTGAGAAACTTTCTGATTGAGTGAATTTGACGAGAATGAGAAGAACGTGCTCCATTTCAGAAGGAGTGGGAGGTACAACTAAACGATTGTTGCGATTTCGTACATTATGAATAAATCGCAAAATGTAAGAAACTATACGCTGAATTTTGGGAAGACTGCTATGGCGAGAGAGAAGATGAGATAGGGGATGTATAATAACCGTGGTAGCAAGAACTACTTTCCGTTTCTCTTCCTCGGTCTCAGATAAATTATCTACCGATATTCCGAGATCAGAAGGCCATTTTTCAGATGGCAGTGATAGCCATTCCGGCCCCGCCCACCATAGCCTGCAGCTTAGTAATTCCAGGGGAAGAAGACCTCTAGACGCGGGGTCCGCAGGGTTGTACTGAGACCTGACGTGTCGCCATTTGGGAGGGGGTATACTATTTTGAATCTCAGTAACACGGTTGCATACAAAAGTAGCATATTTGTGGGGAGAAGAACGTACCCATGACAAGACTATCGTCGAATCAGTCCAGCCATAGATGTCTTCGATTATAATTTTATCTTGGAGAGTTCTGAGCACGTAATGAGTCAAATTGGAAAGAAGAAGTGCTCCACAGAGCTCAAGGCGTGGTATTGATAAAGTTTTTAGAGGGGCGACGCGAGATTTTGCGCAAACTAAGTGAACCGAGATGTGTTGGAACTTATCTATACAAATGAGATAAATGACTGCTGCATAACCTGTTTCACACGCATCCGAAAAACCATGGAGGCAGCAAGATATGATATTTTGGGGATACATTAAACGAGGAATAACTAGAGATTTAATGGAGTACAATTCTTTCCGGAACTGATTCCAGGAATTCAAACAGGTGAGAGGTGGAGGATCGTCCCAGCCTATACCTAGCGACCAGAGTTTTTGTAATAAACTCTTGAGGTGTAAAATGAGAGGGGTGAGAAATCCAATTGGATCAAAAATGCGAGCCACTTGTGCCAGGACATTTCTTTTCGTACATGGTTTATCGAGTGGAAGTACATTGTAGCAGAAGGCATCAGTAGATGGATTCCACTGAAGGCCCAATATTTTAATTGTAGATTCCTGAGTCGAGTCAAAAGTTAAGGGATTATGTAAAATATCAGAGGGGGGCAAATCAGCAAGTAGAGCAGGATTATTGCTTGCCCACTTACGCAATTCAAATTCACCTTTGGAAAGAAGACGAATGAGTTGATTTTGGCATTCAAGAGCTTCAGGTAGTGTATTTGCACCGCTAACTACATCATCAACGTAAACATCTTGCCTCATGATTGAGGCTGCTAGTGGAAGCTCTTTTTCATGGTCTTGGGCAAGTTGCAAGAGGACCCTTATAGCATGAAAAGGTGATGAACTCACTCCATATGTCACGGTATTGAGCTGTATATCTTTAAGAGGTTCATCTTTCGAGAATCGCCAAAGGATTCTCTGAAAATGGCGATGTTTGGGAGCAACGAGTATCTGGCGAAACATTTGCTCCACATCGGCCGTAAATACTACAGCATGCAATCGAAACCGCAGAAGAATTGAGACAATATCTTGCTGCAATTTTTGACCAGTGAGCAATGTATCATTAAGTGAAATCGAATTTTTATCACGAGTGCTCGCATCAAATACCACTCTTAACTTGGTTGTCGCACTTTCTGGGCGGAGAATACAGAAATGAGGGATGTAATAACCAGTATCACAAAAATTATCGGGAGAAACAACCGTCATGTGATGAGAAGTCAAATAATCATTCATGAACTCTTTATAGAGGGAATAGAGGTCAGGATTACTTAATAGTCTGCGCTCTAACGAGAAAAATCTACGTAACGCTATGTCTCGGGAACCCTGAAAGCAAGGCTCTGCATCACGAAGGGGTAGAGTAATTTCAAAACGCCCAGTATTTGTACGAGAAAATGTATTCTTGAATTGTCTTTCAGCAAGAACATCATCAGGTGAAAGAGGGAGAACATGTGGAACTTGGTCCAACTCCCAAAAACGTTTTATGGAATCATCTAATGAGAATTCCGTTGAGGTGAAGAGTGTATGCACTTCTTGATTTGGTGAGGAGCAGT